GGAAACGACAAGGACTACTCGGATTGTATCCACATTGGTTTCTCTAGTTCTACTTGGACAAGGGGACACCTATGGGTATAAATACAAGGCCCCTTAGGAGGAGAGGGGACAATCAACACCCACCATGGAAAACACCCATCATAGACGGAACGACGGAAGCCACAACATACAAGCCAACATACGCCAAGACAAGACGCCGGATATCGACTTCAGGGATAAGCACGGCTAGTCCCCTATGGTGTCTTTGGATACTGTCAGGAGAGACGAAAGCGCTATCTCTGATCTCGCCGGGCACGGATTCGAGGAGGAAGACTACCCTGTTGTCGACTACGAGTCAGACCTTCAGACCGCCATGTCGACAACAGTTAGATAGGCTACCTCAAATATTGTACTGGTGTGATTATGGTGAATAAGAGCAATACCGGCTTCGGCCAACAGGATGTAGGGTTATTACCTGATAATTCAGGGGCCCGAACCTGTATAAAAATCCTCGTCCCCATCTCTTTTACCTCAGTCTCGCATATACCCTAGTACCAACGATCCCCATACTATGCAAATACCGGAATCGCGACATCAAATGTCGACAGTGGCGCGCCAGGTAGGGGGATTTTGGTGCTTTAGGATTTTGATGAGATGGGTTTAAAAGATGGATTCTCCAACAACAAGCTACTCGACGACCTTGGCTGTGGGGAGATTCAACCCGACTAGAGTATGTCCTCTGACGAAATCGGAACTATCGCCGCCGCGGAAGACATCAATTTATTATTGTCGACCACGACTCCACGAGATCTCGGTCCATGTCGGTTGCTTCATAAGTTGATGTCCGCCTCCAAAAAAGTATGACGAATTACCATCACCAGGTATTGACGACATCAGAGATTGATCTGACGATTAGAGCATGGTTAATGGTTTCACCGGCAGCTGGCGCAATAAGGTGGCCATGTCACTTTAAGCATTTGAGAAAGCCAGTGCATATAGTAAACTGGCGTAGAGGTTGGCTATAAGAGTTAATGCTTGCATGTACTAGTAGCAAATGGGAGAAAAGGAGCTGCAGGCTCAGTCGCATGCAGCAGGCTGAGAAGAAGCTTTTTATCTCGGTTCTGCTGCTTCAAGCGAGCGTCTCACCAATCGCCCGTCCTATTCTCTATTAGGATTTCTCTCTCTTTCCACCTCAGATTTGGGTGACGTGGTAAGTTATTTCGCCGGCTGACTGTGCTTCACTATACTTGCTCTTAGCCTATTCTGAGAATCAACCAGGTGTCCTCATGGATTCAGATACATTGGCCTACAGCAGACCGAAGTCAACTACATGTCGTCTGACCTGCCGACCAAATCCCTTCGCGGCAATATTTGGTGCAAGGCATCGGGAGTCTAGCAATCTCCACCAACTAAACGAGTGCAACAGCAAAGTGGCCGCCCGACTGTGGGACCCACGCACATACGGTAGCACTTTCAATGTACCGAAGGCAATTTTACCTTAGGTACACGTGCATGCGTACGTCAGCGGGCCACCCGTGCATGGTGATCATTATGTATCCAGAAGGCAAGTTCGGATCGGCTACCAAGGCTAATTAAGGTAATTATTAGGTTAATTAATTTAATTGATCTACTAATTTTGTATATACATCCGACATGTATCTACACAGGTACGCATTATTTTATATAAAATTTTCCGTACTTCATATTTATACAATATTGTCAGATCCATAATTTATTATGTTTACTTAGAGCATGTTTTTTATACAATATCTATTATGCAAGTGTTCCCGATGTTAAATCGACTGCGGTTTAACGCTGGGGGCTCGTTCTATTTTCTTCCGTATAAATCATACTTGTTTACGGTCTACGTAATGCTTGATATTTAATCTGCTCGTTATATCCTGATAATGCTAGAAGATCCATGCAGATTTTTGAGTACATACTCGATATTCTCTGCTATATGTCTTGCCTTCTAGAAAATATTTTTCAGGAACAATTGAGCACTCGAGTAGGTTGTGGTCAAGTACACCGATCTCGACAAATGCAGAGTCGTCGCGCCCAACCTACCAACGAAGACCGACGACCTATCTCATAGCACCGGCCATGGCTGGACTACTCGAGAAAAGGTTGTTAACAGATAATTCCTCGCGAACACCGTCGGCTTGATCACCCGACATGATTGCGAACGGACATCCGGATATGCTACAAGTTGGGTGTGTGAGTCATGCTGGCCACATGAGATGCACATGTAATAAACCAACTCTAGCACCTCCATTGGTATTCGAGAGATGATTCTACTCACTCGCTGGTTCTCGAACCAGTACATAGCAATCTCCCGCACCTCGTCCGCTGGTTCTCGAACCAGTACGTAGCAATCTCTCGCACCGCAACCTCCATTGGTGTTCGAGAGATGATTCTACTCGCTCGCTGGTCCTCGAACCAGTACGTAGCAATCTCTCGCACCGCAACCTCAGACGGACAAGGTACGACTACAGCAATAACGCAGCGGTCCTCGCACCACGACTTCAAATGATCGAGAGACACCTACTCACTGGTTCTCAACCAGTCAATCGTAGCGATCTCTCGTATATTTACTTCTAGTGGTTGAGTTACGACTACTACCTAGTTCTTGACCAGAGGTGTAGCAATTCTCCCATTACCTTTACTTCAACAAAGTTGATATCAGGTGCACAATATTGCCAAGTGTTTTACCCAGAGATCCCTTACCACAAAAGACATCTAGCGTTGAAACATATCCTCATGTCCCTTTACGCCATCTTGACAAAGCCTCTGAGGAACCTAAGGGAACTTCGGCTGGGGACGCCCAAAGCGGATAAGGCTTTGTCGGATCCTTCAGAAACGAAAGACCATGTAAGATCTGGTCGTGTAAGAGTTCTCGCCGTGCGTATTAACCAAGCCGTGTAATCGGAAATGGATTTTCCAACTTCACGGCTAGGGGCTAGGATCAGTGCTTATTCAACTAAGGCAGGTCAAAGGTCCAAGAGCCTTATCATCCGAGAACGATTCTCCGACGACAAGGCTGGGGGCTAGGGAGAGTGTATAACTCAACAAACTGACTGGTCGAAGTCGGTAAAAGAGTAGACGCTCATATACAAAACATTGGTTTGTAAACCTAATTCATTTTCAGTTTTCCATACATTTTATAACATGTTACCCTTTGAGCACTCGCTCGGGGGCTATTTCTATCTAATATTCTTTTCTGAGTATTGATTTCAGGAAAATTCTATTCGGCATTATCGAAGACTCCATGTCTCTATGGCTCTATACCAAGATCGACTAAGGCGAGTACGACAAATGTTGACAAAGCTCCGTCGCAGACTCTACGCCTTCTCGATTGCTCGAGAACGGTTGGTGGATATCGACAAGGAATACGGAATGAAGAAATGGTGTACCCGCCGAGATAAAATTTCTTGACTTCAATCCAAATTCTCGATTACAGCAAGACGGGAGACTTAGTCGTATGCTCTGTACTTTCTTGGTTGACGTCGGAGATTGACTCAGACAAACCCTTTAGGTGCCCGCACGAGGCTGATAAAGGAAGTCAAACGTTATCTCTAAACTCACCGAGAACGATCACGTGAGCTCGATAACAGTTCCTCCAAGGTCTGCGGTTGAGAATATGAACCTGTTCATTTGCATTGAAGTCGGAGACTACTGTCAGGGTTATGGATACCACATACCTAATAGTAGTTGACTAAATCTCGGCAGGACCCACCACATACCATGTCTTATACGGAAACTGACCTCGGGGGAGTTTCGGATAAGGAAAGACGACCAGAGTTCTACATGGAAACGACAGGGACTACTCGGATTGTATCCATATTGGTTTCCCTAGTTCTACTTAGACAAGGGGACACCTATGGGTATAAATACAAGGCCCCCTAGGAGAAGAGGGGACAATCAACACCCACCATAGACGGAACGACAGAAGCCACAACATACAAGCTAACATACGCCAAGACAAGATGCCGGATATCGACTTCAGGGATAAGCACGGCTAGTCCCCTACGGTGTCTCTGGATACTGTCAGGAAAGACGAAAGCGCTATCTCTGATCTCGCCGGGCACGGATTCGAGGAGGAAGACTACCCTGTTGTCGACTACGAGTCAGACCTTCAGACCGCCATGTCGACAACAGTTAGATAGGCTACCCCAAATATTGTACTGGTGTGATTATGGTGAATAAGAGAAATACCGGCTTCGGCCAACAGGATGTAGGGTTATTACCTGATAATTTAGGGGCCCGAACCTGTATAAAAATCCTCGTCCCCATCTCTTTTACCTCAGTCTCGCGTATACCCTAGTACCAACGATCCCCATACTATGCAAATACCGGAATCGCGACATCAAACGTCGACAAATATGTACATTTGTTTTGCCAAACTTATTGTCATTTGAAGATCTTCAGTTTTGACTTGCTGCATGCAAATGTAAATTGTATTCATATATCTCCCATCAATCAAGGTTCTTAGTGCTGTAATATTTGTGAGCAGAACACACAAACAAAATGTACGTTAACTGTATACTGGCTAGCTAGGTTGATGATCAATGAGCATTGTCTTCAATTTTTTTTTTTCAAAAAAAAAAAGATTTGGAGGGAGAGATATCTCTTAAAATATTTTTTAGAAGAAATTGTGAGCGGGTTAGGGATTAAACACGAGATTTTAGGGTTGAAACCATACACCATTTGCCACTGCACTGTCAAATGATCTCATTGTCTTCAATTTGTAAACATAATCAATAATTATACACACAATATGTGTTTATAGAGCAGAAGCACTGAATTGTATATAAAACCAATTCTACTTTTGAAATCTGCTCCGTGCAAATTTAGGTGGAAATTAATATCCGCTTACCTTAACTTATCGATCGAGTGAGCTGTTGAGATTCGGCCGAGTCGAATAATATTTCATCCATGCATACTCATCGATCCAGTCTGTCCACAATATATATATATTCTGAGATCGATCATATAAACAACATAGGAATGACAAATAAGCATGAACTCAGATAGTGCTGTACTGAAGCTTTAATTAGATGAACACTCTTTCGGAATATATATATATATGTGATGACGTACATGATTCAGTACTATGTACGTCAAGGTACAATCACGTTGACTTTGAAAAGTCAAAACAACAACTTACTATTTTAATAACTAGAAAAAAAATATACTACATGCATACATACGCAAACCCACAGCTGGCTTTGGCTTTTTCAGACGACCAATCGATCGATGAGAACAAGACAACTTAATTATAGTATACTCTCATATGTATGGATATTATTAGCTAGTCAATGCGCGCCAATCGAATTGTTGGGAAGGCAATTAAGCTGAAAAGCTAGGTTTGACCGGTCAAATCCTGCCTCTGCCTCGTTCAGGGAGTTGGGCCCTGCTGTTGACTTGTTCTCTTGTCGATCAATCGATCGATTGATTTGATTTAATTTTACTCCGGCAATTAAGCTGCTAACAGCAAGCTAGCTATATAGGTGAATATAGTAGTTATATAATTAATTAAGTGAGATCGAGTTTGATCAATCATATCGATGATCTGTGGGCTGTGTTTGGAGCTAACTTAGCCAAGGCAATTCCGCAATTATAATTACCGGGGGTGGATCATGAGTAGTAGTAGCTAATATAATTATAATTATAATTACAGGAGTACTCCGATCCAGTTAATTATAGTGTAGAGATGATCCAATTAAGAATGGATCGATCAGTAGAGCCTCCTGGAGTGGAGGAAGGACTTGTGGTTGCCGGCGGCGGAGGCGAGGTAGGCGAGGAAGGTGGCGAGGTCGGTGTCCATGTAGCGGCGCGGGTGGCGGTCGTCGATGAGCTCCGGCGCCGGCGACACCACCCTCTCCGGCGCCACGCTGTGGAACGACGCCACCGACACCCGAAGCCTCCTCGAGTTCACCTTCACCCTGTGCAGCACGCTCCTGTACCGTCCATTGCTCAATATCTGCATCCATATCCCCATCATTTCAATTTCATTTCATTTAGCCACTACTAGTAAAATAATGTTATTGCAACTATAAACTGTAGCTTTGGCTGCTGATCTGAGTTGCATATATATGCAAGTCGTCTTAAAATACTTTAATTTAAGGAAGGATATTTTGCAGTGACAAGATCGATCGATCGAGTTTATTTGTCATGTGTGACACATGCAGCAAAACTAGAGGTCGTCCCACGATACTGAAAAGACGAATTATTATCAGTACAAATTACTAATTTGGATGCTTAGGTTTTGCCACGTACTTGGACAGCGACGACTAGTACTAGTCTACTGCGTACAGTAGCTAGCTACCTAGTTAGCTGAAAAGTAAGTAAGTACGTACGTACCTCCAAGTGGTCGCCGACGTTGACGACGAAGGAGCCCGGGAGCGGGTCGACGGTGAGCCACTCGCCGGCGTGCATCACCTGGAGTCCGGCCACCTCGTCCTGGAGCACCAGCGTGAGGAAGCCGTAGTCCGAGTGCGGCGGCATCCCCAACGTCAGCTCCGGCTGCGGGCACTCCGGGTAGCAGTTCACCGTCATCATCTGTGTCCCCGCCGCCAGGTCCTCCATCACGCCGCCGCCGCCCACGCCCAGCGCCTCCAGCGCCGCCTCCATCACCTCCATGAACACGCGCTGGTTCGCCTCCGCGTACCTCGACGCCACCTCCCGCAGGTCGGCCGGCGAGGTGGGCCATGACTCGACGACGGCGGCGAGCGGCATGCAGGCGAGCTTGAGGAAGTCGCGCCAGCACAGCACGGCGTCCCTCACCTGGTTGAAGCTGGTGCCGTACCTCACCGGCGCCCGCACGTCGGCGGACATGTACCGCTCCCGCTCCGGCTGCGGCAGCTCGAAGAAGCGGCGCGCCACGTCGAGCATGCCGCCCACCACCTCGCCGCCCACGCCGTGGTTCACCACCTGGAAGAACCCGTACTCCCGGCACGCCGCGTCCAGCGTCCGGAGCACCGCGCCGCGCTCCGAAGGGACGCGGAGGCGCGACAGGTCCACCACGGGGAGCTTCACTGACCCCCCGGCGGCGGCGGCGGCGCCGGCGGCTTGGCCAGGGCGGTCGGAGGCCGGGAGGACGTAGTTGCCGGGAAGCCTGGTAATGCCGCTGTCGCACAGGTGCCGGACGCCTCGCCGGCAGTAGTACTCGCGGCTGTCGTCCACGCCGCCGTCGCCATCCTCCGCCGCCGCTCTCTTGCTGCCCATCTGCTGCTGCTCTCCGGCATTGACCAAGTCAACGATCGCCATTCTAGCCAGTAGCTTAATTAGTGGTCGCTTTTCCGGCAAAATTTGAAGCGCAAGTGCACTTGTACTTAGCTAAGCCTAAGCCTAAGCTACTTAGCTATGTTTGTGGTGTCGTCTGTCTGTAGCTGGATCGCTACACAAATTAGCTGTTTGCTTTGTGCAAATGGAGGGCAAGTGTTGTGCTACTTATATAGGCAGCATATGCAGGCAACGAGTGCTAGTTAATTATATTAGTGGTCACACGTAAATTGATTAAACTAGCTAGCTAGTGACGAAACCGGCAACGAGATGGAGAGCTAGTGGTTTTCATCGTATCATTTTCCTGCTGGTTGCTGCCTGAAGGCTACCTCGATTCGATTCTCTCTCTTGCTTTGTTTAGTTTATTTTTTTTTCTTTTCCCAATCAATTCGTGCGGGTCTTGATCGATATGAGCGTCACATTCCGTTGACCCGTACTAGTTTTAATCTATCTTCAATTGCACTCTATCGGCAGTTATACTATATATATCCATCTATATCTTCAAATGCATAAACGTACTCATCAACTAATAAATAAGTATTACATAATTTTAGAGTATAATAATTATATCTATATGCAAAGTTTTATCAAAAAATTCATTATACATATGGAATAAAAGATGAAATTCTGATAGATTTATACTTTAAAATTGATAGTTTTTTATAGCTAAAGTATAATGAATTTGAAGGTGAGATTTTGTACGTACGTATAATATTATCGTAACTACATGTACAAATATTCTAGAATTTTCGGTGGCATTTGTTAGTTAATGTGCACAGTATGCACAACCAAAATTTATGTGCACATGACAAGTTCTCATGTTTCGCTCTAAAATAGGGACTTAATGTTTCCTACACCTAGATATATATAGTGTAATTAAAAATACTTGATTTTATCTTAACTTTATATGCGGACCGCAAATAACAAACAAGGGCGAGGGCTCAAAAAAAAATTGTTTTGACAAAGAGAGCAAGAGCTCTCCCATCCCATTACCTGACAAAAGTGTTAACAGAGTTTAACTAGCTAGAGAGCAGCAAAAGAGATGCGAGGGCTCTAAATAGTTTTCAGCTAGGTTACGTGGAGCACAAGCAGTGCTCAATTTGGTTAGAGAGGAATGCAGACAAGACCTTCTGACAACAAAATCAAGACAAGTGGCCTTAATTAACTACTGTTGGAGACATCGATCGACACAGGACGTGCCCCTGTGCTGTCCAGGTGGAAAGCAGCTATCTAGTCATACTCAAACCTAATTAAGTGCCCGTATACTCCATCTATATATGTCGGCCAATTCTGTGCTTTTCTATGTGATGATTTTTTAAAAATATATAATCATGACCATTTAGATTAATTATATATGACAAGAGAGATAGGTATCTCTCTACTGATAGTATTATACTACCAGTATCATTAGGGTAAAATAGTAATTTACTAATACAATAATTAAGAGTTACTTTATCATTTTTTTCCAAGCTAAATTTATCTATGATCATGCATTGCACTGGTATCGCTTATATTTCATCAAAAAAGTTAAAAAAGAGGAAAAAAGTTTAGTCACTGTTTAAATGACAATTAGATCCCTCCACACCTTTTTTTTAAATAATGCCCCCTTTTTTTTTGCTATCGCCAACTGGATGGTAATATAAATAGATTTGAACCCTTCGATCAAATGGGATCAACGGTTTAAATTGTGTTCTACTGCTAGTAGAGAGCATCGTAGTGAGGCCCTTTCGCTTGATGTTCGGTGTTTTAGACTTAGTTTGTTGGGGCAATGAATGATTCTACTTTCTCTCTTATAGAATTTAATTATTTTTAGGATCAAAATTTATACAAAAATTTCAACCAATAAACAAAAATCCATATATTTCAGCCAATCGGATGTTTAGGAAAAAAAATTCGTTAACCTTGGTATATGCTAATTAAACAATATATAAAAAAGTTTATATTATATAAAAATGACAACATGCATTATACAATGATGACAAGTACTAAACGGCCCTGCATATTATGCATGCATGTATGCCTGTTCTAGCTCAGAGAGAACATATCATCAGGCCGATATTCCAGCATGATATTCGATCGACCGATGTAGAGGCACATAATTTTTCAATGTGCAAAACAGGTATCAAGCTACAGAAAACACACAAATAAACAGACGCACACGCTATACATGCATATTCGAAATATCTACTCCATCCATCCAAAAAAAAATATATCAAATTCTAGAGTTTGAATTTTGTTCCACAAAATATCAACTTCTACCATTCTACCTACTCTCAGCATATAAAACGAGAAATTTTATCCCTTAAATACCCTTTACCTAACTATCACTATTACTATGTACTTTTTCTAATAATACGGGGTATTTTTGTTATTTTTACCCTCCACTATTTTTTTTTATTCTAGGAGTTAATATTTTATGAGACGGATAGAGTAGCTAGCTAGGGGTGTAGCTAGCTAATAAGCTAGGGTTTTGCTTCGTCTTCCATTATATGGATGGATATATATTCCTTGTTGGGATATTGTCGGGCGCGGGAACACGATGCCTGTGGGTACGTGGATGACATGCACGCTATGCATGGATCGACAAGTGTTTTTTGCCCCCCAAAAAACAATAAAGTGCCGAGGTGTCGATGCCCGGCCTAATTAAGTGGACATATCATATCGTGCTAGCTACTGTATTTTCCAACCATATATAGATACAGAAAATCTCCCCAGCTGATTTAGCTTATATATGGAATTATCTCTCTATGTATATTACTACCTCCTTTCCAGATTACAAGACTTTCTAGCATTATCCACATTCATATATATGTTAATGAATCTAGACATATATATGTGCCTAGATTCATTAATATCTATATAAATATGGGCAATACTGAAAAGTCTTGTAACCTGAAACGGATGAAATATCTGCAAGACTTCAGCTCTAGCTCTAGCTCTAGCTCTATCTTCCCTAAAACTAAAACACAACCAAATATATAGTTTCAGCTTAAAAGACAAGCATATCAACTTCGAGTAATATATATATATGAAAAACATAAACTAATTAAGGTCGTTCGAACTACAAGTTAGATTAAAAGTTAGAACACTACTAAACATGTCCCACATATACATCGATTTGGTGCTCGATATGCATGTATGCTGCGTGCGTATCCATCCTGTTACAGCTAGCCAGCTAACTAGATAGATAGGATCCAAGGACGACAAAATTACAAAAAGCAACTTAATTACTCCCTCCCTTTTAAAATGTTTTACACCGTTGACTTTTTAGCACGTGTTTAACCATTCGTCTTATTCAATAAATTTAAGTAATTATTTATTCTTTTCATATCATTTGATTTATTGTTAAATATACTTTCATGTACACATATAGTTTTACATATTAATTTCACACTTTTTTTAATAAGACGAACGGTCAAACATGTGCTTAAAAAGTCAATGGTGTCAAATATTTTGAAACGGAGGGAGTATATATTAGCTTCATGAAGTTGTATGGTTGCTTTAGGGTCTTTTGAGGTTCTGATAAATAGAGTTTCTTTCAAAATTATAGTTCTATCAAATAATTTAGTTTTTTTATTCAGATTTTAAGAAATTGTGGATGTAGAATCCATAAATGAATTATATCAGCCAAAAACTTTTCTCAGCTTCTTCAGATTTTTGCCAACTAAATTTTCATCAGTTGCTTATGAAAATCTAAATAAAGGTCCCAAATATACCCTTAAACCTTGGAATTCGCTGTAGCTTACCACTTATATTTAGTCGTCATTTGTAGCCAAGTTTTGTCGTGATGGCAATGATATATACTGATATATATGATCGGTAGTGTGCGACTTGAAAATTATTAGAGCCCATATCGCAGTCAGCCGCTCATCCTCTTCCTCTCTTTGACTAGCGTACAGCTGGGACGCCCTAGCTAGCTTAATTAGACCACTTGGCATCACTACACAACTTCTTTCCAAGCTAATATTTTTATATTATATATATAAAAAAGGAGCTAATCAGACCTATGATCATGAATTCAAGATACTGGCTTCATCTGGAGGTCAAATTAAACTACTTTAAGGCCGGGTTACTTGATTAACCGGTTTCACTTTTTACAGTAAAATATCTGATCGTATATCACACTACTTTTGATTTTTTTAAAAAAAATAAATTAGTTATTTCTAAAGGAAAAAACAATAATATATGCACAATATAATAGATGCGATACGATGGAGTTGTTCTTATATATATATATATATATATATATATATATGTTGACGGAGCTTGAGGCTCCTCACCGGGAGACCGCGCAGGCCCCCCTTTGCCGGTTCGGCCGGGGGCGCTATGTGAGGTTCTTCGCCCTCGATTTAAGGAATGTCAGCGAGAAGAATCGCACAAGACACGGGCGACGTAGACAGGTTCGGGCCGCTGAGAAGCGTAATACCCTACTCCTGTGTTCTGGTGGATCTGTGTGTGAAGGAATTACAGAGAGCTCGAGAGCCAGAGAGAGTTCAGGCTCTCCCATCCCCCCTTAGGCCTGGGCCTCCTTTTTTATCTCGTTAGGGGTCACCACATGGGCCTCTAGCTGCCTAAGAAAAGAAACATTCTTTTTACAATGAGGGCTAGTCTACAGCCGGAAGTGACTTCTGACAAGCACAGCACACGCCTTCTGCTCCGCTCGTCAGCTCTCCCAGTGGACGCCCGTTTCAACCTTCATTCAATGGCCAGCGACTTTCTTGCCATGCTTGCACTGAAGCCTAGAATGGATCTGACCGGGACTGACATACCAACTCCAGGAGTTAGCACGCTAGCTCCGGCTAGAGACGAGAGCCAGGAAACTCTCATCATTCCGACGGGACGGGGCGAGGCGTGCGACAGGCCGCCTGTTGCCACCTAACCCGCGATCTGACCGGTCTGTGACCGGTCACATACCGCGACTGGTCACGGACCGGATAAGCATGCGCTGCGCCGCATTGAATGCGGCGTGGCGCGCTCGTCTAACCTGCTATAAATGCGGTTAGGTGAGCGCCGCTGTGCTCACCTAACCCACACACGTGGCGCCAACACCACAGGGGGTCGGGGCGCCCCAGCCCTCGGGGCTGAAACGGGAGCGGCCCGACCCCTCGGGGAGACAGAGGGAGAGGTGGCCACGTCACCCTCGGGCCCGACCCCCTCGGGGG